TCAGCCGCAAGTCAGGAATCTTCAAAGGCACTCTGCAGCGTGCTCAAAGTTCTCCGACTTGGGCGGAAGTTGCACAGAATTTTATACGGCTAGCAAGCCAATCACTAGCCGCCACGTAGGAATAATTTAGAACTGGCCAATAGTGGGACACAAATTTGCATGCGAATGGCAGGCACTCTCTTGGGCCGGGGGTTTCTGTTGCAGCAGAAAACTTTTGCTGTGCACAGAGACTCTCATGTGGCGGGAAAATTCCATCGTGCCGAGGCACTAAAATCATTGGGTTGTGACAAAGACAAGAAATTGTCTTGTAAAAGTCTGGGTCTGGGGGTCAGGACAGTTGAGGTCTTGGAACGTATCCCTATTTGCTGCATTGTAAAGTGGGTTCCCTTTATGCGAATTCGAGTTGTGTGTCAGTTTCCAGGAACACATGTACAGCATAAAGCGAGGGAAACCTGTATTTTCTTAAATAATGATTAGGAGGGACAGTCACTTAAACATCGGGTTAAATATTATGCAAGTTTAATTATACATTAAAGCTTGATGCTAGGGAACAAATGTTTGGGGTACAAACTTAATACTATCAGGAACATGGAACTGTGGAAAGATTAAAGTTAGTTAAATGATGGCTGCTATAATCTTGTGGTTGCAGGGGAGGATGATGTTTCAGATCCGACAAGACAGGACAAACTCTGTGTGCTTCTGGTCCAAAATGATTATTTTAAAATGTTCAGTGTTAACATTTTCAATCCTCCTTTATAAAACTCAAACCACCCTCTACTCTGCCTAGTTTTGTCCCTGTGGTTCTCAACCTTTTTCAACTCAAGGCACCCCTCATTAACTTTAAGGTGTTCCTTGGAAAATGCCAGCTCTAGCTCCACTCATTTTTTGACTATGAAAAGAACAATAGACCAATTTTTCTATTGAAAAGAACTCAGAAAGACCACAACAGGTCAGAATGTTTCTGTCACTATGGAGTCCTATTCAATATTTTTCATAGATTTCATAGACATCAGGGCTGGAAGGGACCTCGGAAGATCATCGAGTCCAGCCCCCCGCCCAAAGGGCAGGAAGTCAGCTGGGGTCATAGGATCCCAGCAAGATAAGCATCCAGTTTCATCTTGAAGGTGTTCAATGAAGGCACTTGAACCACCTCCGGTGGCAGGCTGTTCCAGACCTTGGGGGCTCGGACAGTAAAGAAGTTCTTCCTTATGTCCAGCCTGAAACGATCTTGAAGTAGTTTGTGACCATTCGACCTCGTCATCCCTTGGGGCGCTCTGGTGAACAAACGTTCCCCCAGATGCTGGTGGTCACCCCTGATAAACTTGTAGGTGGCCATCAGATCACCCCTGAGCCTGCACTTTTTCAGGCTATATCTGTGGGTTTATCTTGTGAATCATGTGTTGATGTTTGTACACCCAACAGTACTCACATTGTGCAAGACTTGAGGACACCCCTAAAAGGATCTTGCAGCAGCTCGGGCTGATACAGGACCATGGCTGAGAATCATGGTAGGAGATCAATGGCTATTGCTTCTTAAAAGTATGAAGGACGGTTACTTAAAGTATACAACTGCATTATTGTCTGTAGTAGCTCTAACTACATTTGTCTACTCCAAATCACTATGTCCAAGAGAGAAACACCAGTTATTATTCTTGCCTTCATCCTTCCATTCATTCTTGCAGCCTTAAACACAAGTCAAACAATTCATAGCCAGATCAAATTTACTGTCTCAAGGCAGCAAAACAATTTTCCCACTTGCTAGGTTTTTCATTAGCGCACTGACATTTCTTAAAAGACTTTAGACTCATTCTGCAATAGTCAAAATAACTGACACACATCTCATTTTAGAAACAGCTTACCTGTTTTATGCTGAAACTTGACACCGTATAGATCATTATAGGGTTATTTGTTAGGTCATCAGGCCGTACCCATTTGGCAAAAATTGCCTTTTGCTTGGGGGAGAGTGGTAATTTGCCACATTTATCTCTGGAGTCAAGAAGAAAAAGATAGTTTCAATAAGCCAAAAATGGAACAGAAACATCCTTTCACAGTATATCCCAGCCTGCCAGGTCACAAGATACTATGATTCCACACTTCCTGATATTTTCATTGTTTTACTGAACTTTAAAATTTTATAAATCCTTTGACCAGTTACACAAAATGGAAGTAAATGCAGGCATCCCTGGCTAGTGGCAATGCTATGACCCCTCACCCATGTTTCTGGAGCCTGGCCTGTACTCTATTAAGCCACACTTCCACACTGAAGAAAAAGCTCTGGAGAAAGCATCAGTTTTACAAATAAAAACCTCAAGTCCAATGTTTTCCTAAGAGACTGAAAGTGATATTGTATAACAGGGTTAAAAAAAAAAAAAAAAAGCATGCAGCAGGATAAACATGAATACAGCAGCTCAGAAGGCATGTCCAGATGAGCAAGAATGTGTGTCCTCTGAGGACAACCAGCAGCAGCACGTATTTGTGTCCCTGCTAGTTGTTCCCAGGGAACACCCCTGCATGTGTGTTCTGGCACACGGCAAGTTGCCCTGGATGGAGTAGGGGAGCATGGGGCCAGCACTTCTACTGGCCCCAGCAGCCTTACCAGGGGTCCTGGAGGCTTCCTGGGGCTCCAGCAGCAGCAATCTGGGCATATGAAGCATGGCCAGCAACTGGGGCATGGCTCTAGCCAGCCAAGCTCTGGTTTTGGGCAGTGCATGCTGCCACCATGTGCACTGCACTACATTTTTTCTGGCATGGGTTTGACACTGGGATCTCATGGTGTAACAACCCCCCCAGTGCTGTAAGTTAGCAGCGCAGCAAATGTCTGCACATGCATGCTTATCTAGATGTGCCTGGAATGTACAAAGGGAAGACCAGGACCATCCGTTCACTGCTGGTCTTGGTCGCCCAAATGTAAACTCTGGGGGGCAAGAGGATCCTGATTTTTCAGAAGCTAGGACTTTCTTAAAAGTTTTAACACTTTCTTAAAAGATAAAAATCAGGCTCCATTAAAGTGTCAGGACGTGGGCACGCAAAAAAAAAAAAGGGGGTTGGGGGGGGGCAAGGGTACCCAAAGCCCTAGTCATTCTGAAAACTGGAGCTGAGCTCCGACACAGTTTTGCCCCTAACATCCCCGGTATAACAGTTACCACTCTCCTTTGTTATCAGACCAGCTTATATATCCTGCCACCCCTACTGAACAGCAACTGTGAATTTTCTGCATGAGTTATGATTTAATGAGTATTAAAACAATCTGGAGTTTGCAAAAAGAAATCAAATAAGGAAAACAGGAAAAAAGCTGGGGAAACACAAGCAAAATAAGTATAGGTACCAAATTTTACTTACGAAAATGGCACTGGAAATGCAAAACGCTCCCTCAGGTCAACACTCATGAAAGGGACATACTCAATACCATTTATCTTTGAGGTCTTTCTGCACATAAGAGAACAAGTGGTTATAAACATCAAGTGCAACATCTTAATTTATTTAATTTTACAGCCTTCTAAGACTAGGATCCAGGAAGTAACAATGAAACTAATGAAAGGAGATGTCTACAGACTGGCAGATTTCCACCCCTTGAATACAAAATAAGTTCCGCAACAGATAGATTTCTAAAGCTGGAGTACTTGTTGGCTTGTCCAAATCTGCAAATACATACACAAGCACACACAGACAAGCAGGCCTCTGCACAATGGTCATATTCAACTTTCTCTGCAGGATCTATGATTTTCCAAGCCTCTTAGTTCCACTAGATCAGTCTATTGGAGTAGACTGGAAATTAATTTGACTACATGCCTTTTCTGTTTGTTCATTCTTTTATTGATAAGAGGAGTGCTTCTATTCACTTATGATACAGACACTGTAACAAACAAGTACCATGGGGAGAGAGGAGGCAGAGCTGCTCTGCAGTAACTGGCCCTGGGCCTGTTTTACCCCATGTTAGGTAGAAGCTGAATTGCAATAGTGTATTCTTCATGAGTGAATTATTGCATATTAGCTTCCACTTACCACCAGGCAAAATCAGGCACCCAAGCACTTAACACTGAGCAGCTGCTGTTAAGTGAAGCCCTGTCCCCTTTTATCTCATGGCAATTGTTCATATGTCCACACCTTTAGTCAAAAGGTTAAAAGCAGACACGCAAAAGACGGAGGTGAATTTTAATAGGACAGTCAAGTACACAGGGTGCTGGCCTAAGGGGGCGGGGTCGGCTCTTACTGTACACCTGTAAGAATCAAGAAATCAGTACTAATGGATGTGAATCTGGACACAGGTCTAAGTTTCAGTTACAACCTTGGACTTCCAGGCAGTAAACAGCAGGGAAAAGGGGTAAAGTATTTTCAAAACTAAAGGAAAAAAAATTTGAAGACTTTTTAAAAATATACATTTCACTCATGCTAGTTAAATTAAAAAAGGAAATCTAGTAATAAAAATAGAAATAGGTAATACAAATGTTCAACTTTTTAATGCAAAATGCAGTTCTCTCTCTTGGGCCACATCTACAATCTGCTTAACAGTGGAAGAACTTCATTAATTTAAAGGAGCTTTTCATGAGGCATTTATGTTCTACATATCCAATCCTGCATAATGTTAAGCACAGTCAACTTCCACCAATACCTCATATGCAAATATTGTTTGACAATGTAAATGGAGAGCATCTGTCCAGACAATGCTCTTCGCAAGGTGCATCTGATGGATTTTCAATACTTGTAATTTGATGCGAGGATAATATATTGTTTTATTGTTTGTTGAATGCCAAAGAGCTTAGTTTGGATGCCTGATCTTACTCCCACTGAAATCTCACAAAAGGGAACAATGTACTCCATGTATATGCATACCAGACAAACAGTATAGTTCATGTAACTATGTAACACCACCAGTCTGCTTGTTTTTACATTATAAAAAACATCAGTTATCTACATACCAGTTAAGCACATATTTCAGCTATACTTTTTACTCTGTAATGTAAATATGTTCTTTTTAACTGCATAAAAAGTGCCAGAAGCAGTGAAAGGAAACAGCTGAGAAAGTGCTTAGAAACCTTGAGCAACAGGCCTCTTTTCGAACCTCATGTACCAGGAGAAATGGGAAAGACCCTTTAAGAGAGATGAACCAGATTGGGAGGCCCCTCCCCTAAACATATATAAGGAAGGGGGCCTTAGTGCTAAGAGGCTCTGGCAGTGGAGGAAAGCAGAGCTCCTAGCACAGAAGGCCAGAGAAGCTAACACAGCCAAGTTGTCAGGATGGTTAACATACGGTAAAGGTCACTGTAGACAGGAGGACCACTTGTAGGAGACCTTGTGCCATTAGAAACTGAAAGGTCTTAGATGTGAGAGGTGCTACACCTGGCCAAAGCCCTTCTCTCTCCAGGGACTGACCACTGCAATTCCATCAAGGCATGACAGGTGAGTGAGGTGGGGAAACTGGGAGTAGGGACTGAATGGGTGGTATGTGGACTGTGAAGCTGGCACCATGGGGATAAAAGTGTCAGATGTCATGCCTGAAAAATGATGAGAGCTGATTAAACACAAGTGCTTTCTATGTTTTACAGGAAACCCCCCCCCCACAAAAGTATTTAATCAGTACCAAGGACTTCTATTAAATATACCTTAAAGAGAGCACAGTCTGAACAGAAGCCATTGTATTTTTTTATTATGATAATGTCTTAGAATGTGTTCATGCTTAGAGGTCTTTCGACAGTGGATTCCCCCTATTTCCCCACCTTTTTAAACAGACAAAGGAACAGCTCCCTCCCCCTCAACACCTCTCAATCTAATACTTCACTGACAGAAATAATAAAAATCAGAATAGTTTGTCCTTACATTACCTGAGCACTTCAATCTCCTCTGTGGTGTATCTCTGACCATGAGATTCACTAGCTTGCACTGCTCTGACTGTTTGTGGTTTATCATTCAAGGAAAAGTCAGGTCCCAATGGAAAGAATGCTCTAAAAGGCTGATTTGGTTTAACTGCAGCTGACTTGTCTTTTTGAGATGACTTTGACATAGACTCTTTAAGTGCTTCTGCTCTAAAAACAAAAATGTTGTTTGTTAAGTTTAATGTAAAGCAACAACAAATTCAAGTTTAAATTGCTTCTTTGTACTTCCACATGAATCATACCAGGTGGACAGATGTAAACATGATCTAGTACTAGTTTGCTTTTGCTAAGGAAATAATTTCAGGAGCAGTACAGACACGAGATGGAATAGTAAGGAAGTTCCTTGTGTCAGAATCTACTTTCTTCATTTTTAGGGTGAACAGAATACAGCAACTAAGTTATCAAATAGTTTTGGCTTAATTCATTTTAATAGTTCCAAAAACTTGAAAAATTACACTCACTGGAAGATCTGTGCGACAACTTAATAAATAATTGGAACTCAAACACACTGCCATCAAAATCCAGGCATTTAGGATTTTAAATATTCATGTGGACACAAATGGATTTATTTTATGAATCTGAAAGAAACATCTGCTAGAACCTAGCACACCAGAAGCCATGTTTCAATCTCCATTAAGTCACTGACTTAAACAGTCAGTATCTTTGCAACAGGTATTAGGCTCTAGTACAGACGTAGGCAGGGATGGATCTGGCCCGCAGAGAGACTATGTCCAGCCCATGGCAGGTTCCTTGGTCCTGCCGGGCCCAGGTGCCATCTGGCCTGTGGTGCATCCTCCTGCCGCCACTCTGCAGCTGGACTAATTTTCTAGGAAGCCTAGGTGCAGCGGCTCCTTCTAGCTGCCACCACCACTGGCCCCGGCCCTGTGGTACTGGGGCCGGGGCCAGTCCTGTCTGCGCACACAGTCCTAATCCCAGCCCACCCCACACCCGCTCTGGACTTGGCCCGGCAGAACAGACCATGCAGAACCTGCATGCACAGCCCCAACCCTGGCCCACTCCATGCCTGCTCCAGACTCGCTTGCCCATGCTGAGCAGCAGCAGCAGCTGGACAGAAGCTGCTGCTTGGCACATGGGAAAAGCAGCCCCTCTCCTTTACCACTGCTGGCCCTTCTTGCTAAAACTACCTGGAGCCCACACCCAGGCTGCCCTGTGGCTTCTCTGCACTGCCACTGCTGCCCCACTGGGCAGCCCAGAGGTGGTGGTGGAGGAGCTGCGGGGTGGCCTGTTAGCAGTGAGGGGCCGCTTTTCCTCTGCGCCAAGCAACAGCTTCTGCCTGGCTGCTGCTTCACATGGATGGGCGGTCTAGAGAAGGTGTGGGGCAGGGTTAGGGCGGTGCGCACGGGTTCCAGCTGGTCCACTTTGGCTGGGGCCAGTCCCAGGTCAGAGATGTGCGCTGCTGGTGATGGTAGGGAGTAGCTGCACGGTACACTGGCTCTGGGCTGTTGTGGCAGGTAGGGGAATGCTGACCAGCCCGCAACAGTCTCCCAGAACTGATTATGTGGCCCACAGGCCCAAATAATTGCCTGCTCTAAAACTACAAATAATTGCCGGCTCTAATACCAGAAGTACTATTACAACTACAGAGTAAAGTGTTCCACTTTTCTGTGCACCCAAGCTGCAGTGCTGAGGATGGACTGGCTCCCTTGCTCAGTACTAATCAAGACAAAATTATTAGAGAGGCCCAGGGCCTGCTCTCAGTTGGCCCACTTAAGACCTAAGTACAGAATATAGCTAGAAGTATTCCTTTTAACCATATACTAACTACTTGGAGAAACCAGCCATAGGTACCCACCTATCCAGTGCTTGTCGAGCCAGCTGCTTCAGTTTTGTTTGAAGACTTGCCTCTGAAGTTTCGTTAGCCTTTATAGAAAAGAAAAAGAAAGTACTGCAGGTTGTAAACCCTGGCAAATTCCAAAGGTACAAACAGGTACAAACTGTTTGATATTCCAAAATATCAAACAGTTGTATTTTCCATATGTACACCATGATGAACTAACACCCGCACCAAAACTGACTGTTGGAAACTTTGAAAATGAGAGGAGCTAGGCAATTCCAAGACTACTATCTGAAACTTTGAAGAGGAGTGGAGTCAAACAACCCTGAAACTGTCTATACTAGATCACTTACAGTGTTGTATACTTAATGAGCACTGACTGTTTGCACCAAATTTGGTAAGTGCATCACCTCTTTTCAGTCCTGATGCAATATACTTAAACTGAATACACTGTAGTTAGTTGGAATGCAACATGCCATTTTAAAATTTCTAATTATAGGAAGTACCAGTTTCATATAAAGTGTGTTGGGAAAATGAATCAAGATCTTTAAAAGTTGCATTTTTTGCCCTGTAGATGCTATCTTGATTCATTTTCCTTTTTAAAGATGCTGTGATATTAAAACTTTATTGAATTGATGTATCCTTTCAAGTTTCCTTATGAACAATAGGGTATATAATCATATAAAAATATGGTTGGCAGGAACCTCTGGAGCTCATCTAGTCTAACCTACAGTATACTTCCTCACAATGTAAAATATTCCAGGATGAGCCAGGAAATCTAGCCTTTATTCCAAGCTCCAGTAGGTAATCACTGTGAGCTGGTAACTTAATCTGTAAAACGGGTAGAGTGAGACTAAGGAACTTTTCAAAGAAGGTTTGAGATCCAGGAAGCCTATTCCATTCAGCACAGTTTGAGTTCTGGCTTTGCCCTGTGTCCCTGGCTTTCTCTGTGGTAAATAAGGCCTGCTAAAAGTGGAATAGGAGAATAAAAAGCAATAATTTTTTCTGGCATACCCATGAAACCCAACCTCCTCCTTCTACCCCACTCCCCACCTGACAAAAAGGAGGTGGGGGGTATCTTTGCTCTGGGAAAAAATGTCCAGTAGGTAGCTGTCTGGAAGAGCCTTAGAGTGGGTGGAGGAGAAAGGAAGCCTATCAGGGTAGGAAGGAGAAAAATGAAATGCCCTGGCTGGAATAGATGGATGCTTCTTAGTACAGGGCTTGGGTAAAGCTAGAGGGACTGAACTCCCAAGGGGAACAGACAGCCTTGCAACTAAGGAACTAGACCGAATCAGTGCACTGAGGAAAGTGAAGGAATTCTGGAATCTTATTGTGGTAGGAGGAGTGTATTTTTTCCCCTTCTATTAGGAGGGGATGAACAACAAAACTACCACCTTTCCAAAGTAATAGGCTACCTGAGGCAAAGAAATTCAGTCAGCAGCTAAACTTAAAATCGAGGGACCAGATAAAAAGAGGACCAGGTAAAAATAATTACTAGAACGCTAAAGTTACATGACAACGCATGCCAACAGAAGACAGACTGTGGCAGAGTAGAAAAAATGCTTTCTAACAGTAAATATTCATATAGGCAAAAAGAGGTCAGACCCAACAAATTAACTGGAAAACCATAGTGTTTCTGAGCTGGCTTCTGATTTTGCAATCACCAGTCCAAATGCTTGACTAGATTCTTCTGTATAGTCCCTCTGACTTCCATGCAACAATTTATCAAGGTAAAGCCAGGCATGTGTGTAGGTATTTGCAGAATTCAGACAAAAATGTCTTAATTTAGCTTGTAATACTGTTTTGAAAAACAGTAATGTGGCCATCCCAATACATCAAAATATGTTAACGTAAGTGGGCAGAAGAGAAGAACAAAATCAGACTTGGTGGAGTTACATCATGACGGTGAGCTCTTCTTCTAATAAGTTAGTTTTGGCTACTGGACTTAATAGGAAAAAAGCAGTACCTGTAATATTATTCAGTAATGCTTAAAAATAGCCTAGTTTTAATATGCAATGAAATTTCAACTGGGACTAGCTTGCATGGTGTTAATGTTACAAGCATATTCTCCCCAATGTAGTCTGAAGTGGACTATTAAGTTAAGCATTACTTGAAAAGGAAAATTGCCTTTAATATTCACAGTACATCCATCAGTAGTTTGCTACGTGAAAGGGCCATCTTTTTCCAACATGCTTTTAAACAATTTTAGCTTTCCATTGGCCTGAAGCCAAAAGTTTCAAAGTAGAGCGATTAAAAAAAAATCCCATAGGTTTGCTGGAATTCTTAAGTGCAATATCTTTAGAAGAGGGGACTAGGTCAGTTTGCACTACTGAAACACAGTGCCTGATCAAACAACAGTGGACCAGAGTAAGCCATGTTTCTTTCAGTGGGATATAGAGAACAAAAGGCAAAACAAAAATGTCTAAAAACTTTAAAAAAATTAATAGAAATACAGGTACTACATTTTTAAGCCAGTTTAAGTCAATCACTTGTGTAAATGGAAGAATTGCTTACCATAACATAATTCCACCAAGTTAACTTGTAGTTTAACATACTGTTTTCAAACAGAGTTCCACTGCTTCTGTATACAATTCTACAGCTTCCTCCATGTTGCCCTTATTATCTTCATCAAAGGCCTGTGTAACCAGGAAATGAGCACGCTCTAGGTCCAATTGCTGTTTTGACTTCAAAGGGTCGATGCTCTGCGATTGAACTAAATGAGAAAGGAAACTCTTTAGCTTGCTGTGATGATGCATACAAGTATTTAATACAGCACAGCAACCAAGAACAAACCAGGCAGAAAGGTAGCATTTGCTCACGTGCCAAAACCCAACATTGGTGCATTTAAATTCGAGTTCAATTTTAAACAAAAGGCTTCATACACCTGTAGAAGCCAGTGATGGTAATGCAGGATATCTTAGACCTGAAATAAATACAAAAATATAGTGCCAAACAAAGACAAGTTGTTTATTTATGCCAGACCCTTTACTACTTGTGGAAATAACTCCTGTCAGGATAAATCATAGAAAATGAGGGTTGGAAGGGACCTCAGGTCATCTCGTCTAACCCCCTGCTCAAAGCAGGACCATCCTCAATTAGATCATTCCAGCCAGGGCTTTGTCAAGCCGGGCCTTAAAAACCTTAAAGGATGGAGATTCCACCACCTCTCTAGGTAACTTGTTTTAGTGCTTCACCACTCTCTTAGTGAGAGAGATTTTCCTAATATCCAACTTAAACCTCCCTTGGAGCAATGGTCTTAAGTTGCAACTTGTTTGGTCAGCAAAACTTGCTGGGAGCTGCAAGGATTTATGAAACTAAGGTCTGGACCCAAATACGTATCCTTCAATAACATCAGAGTGGACCCCCTGCAACTACACAGTCCCACTGAAGCCAAAGTGCTCTGCACCAGGGCAGGAGTCCCATCTATACAGAACTCACTGCAGAATAGAGCTTAAGCATGCAAGGCGAAGTGGGGGCAGGTGCAGTTCTCCTCCAACAGAGTATTTTCTCACATAAATTTAAATAAATTTTGCAATAAATTTAAAAGAGCATAAATATCTACCACTGCTCACATGAAATACTGGTAGTTCTCTACATTAAAGTTTTACCTTATGATTCAATTTACTAGCCATGTGTTTGGTATTTTTCAGTCTTGCATAGTAAAACAAAATGCTTGAGGATAATCAGGAAAAAGATGGCTGTTCTGCTAGATGGTTCACAAGACAAAAAAAAACTCTTCCCACTCAACAAATTCAATCAAAGGTACAATTGGAAAGCTTTTTTCCTCACCTGCTGAATGCAGAGCTTGGACTCTCTCCAAATACTCATTTATTTTCTCTTGAATATTTTCCAAATTTGAGCCTGCCATTCCAGCATAAATTAAGGCTTGCGCAGCCTCCTGGGAAGGGAAAAGATAACATGTGTAAGTCTGCTTGCTGTATGGAGAAGTACTTTCTGCCAAATATTATCACGCACTTTGTGTAGGTGGACTCACGCCTGCTTGGAAAGTCACTGACCTAAAGAACAATCCACTGTGTGAGCAAAGGTTGTTTCGAGTCAGGACTTCAGCATCTACAGAATTACAATGAGTTTACTGAGGATCTAAAGAGCCACACTGTAGGCTGTATATTAGAGAACCACATTTTTTGTTTGACTAAGCAAGGGTGCAAACCTCTGTGTAGATGTCTGTATGTCACTGACTGTCTGATGATCATTATGTTGTTTGCATGCCATTCATTCGCCCCCTAATTTTTATTGAAGCTTTTTAAATATCACTTCATATGTTCACAGACCTGGGGACAGTATCTTGTTCCACCAGTACCCTGTGTTCATTGCTTCTGATCTAAAATTATTTAAAAACTTGATTCAGATGGATTAAGGGAGATCAACTCAACCATTACTTTTCATGTAAGAATAATCAAAATCCCGAAATGAACAAAACATGAACATCTTCAAAAAATGATATATAGGAAACATTTCCCCCCCCATCCATACTCCATGTGTGCAGGTGCCTTGATGCTACATCTGGGTGCCAGAGCTGTGGTGCCCAACCTTTTTCTGCCGTGGGCCAGAAGTACAGTCTTAGTCGTCTGATGGGCCGGATCCAGCCCACGGGCCTGATCTGACATGCAGGGCAGTGAGGTGGGGCCCGACTCAGCCTTAGAGGGGTCAGGGGAGGGGACATAGCCTGGTCCCAGTGAGGCTGCGCTGAGGGACACGGCCAAATCAGGGCCAGGCTGTTGGGCAGGCAGGTGTGACACAACCATGCATGGGCATAGCTGGGCTGGGAGAGGCTTGGGGGGGGCAGGGGGGGAGGTAGTATTACTTGTCACTGTTACCCCAGGACCAAATTCCCTGACCCGTGCGAGCCCCATGGGCTCCTAATGCCTGCGCACCCCTGCCAGGGAGGGGAGGAACCGCTGTGGCGCTTGTGCCTGGGGAAGCCCTTGTCCTGGCACCGGTGTGCACCCACCCGCAAGAGCGCCACCCATGGCTGTTCTGGGGTAAGGGCTCAGACACACCTCGCATTGCCCCCAGGGTAAACCAAATGCCCAAAACAGCTGCAGAGCCTCGCTCCCAGTTATCCCGGGACAACGGGCTCTATCCCAGAATAAGACGAGGCCCCACCCCGCCCGCCCCTATGACGCGCCCAGACGGGGAAGTTCGTGGGGGTGGAAACAACCCACGGGCCCGGGTCATTCCATTTCCAGGAAGTGGGGGGAAGAAGGGGCTGGAACAGGACGGAACCACAGGGCGGTGCGGGGGGGAGGGGGAAGAGGGCTGGGACAGGACAAAACGAAGGGCGGGGGAGGAAGCCGGTACCTTGTAATAGAAAACCGCCTCCCGGTAACGGCCGCTTTGGTCGCGCTGCACCGCGAGCTGCGCAAACCGTAGGGCGTCCACTTCCAACGCGCTGGCGTCCATGGCTCAAACCCCGTCGCCACTCCGCGCTCGCTTCCGCTTCGGCCCGGCCCTGGCTCCGCCCACTGCTCCCCGCGGCGCACCGCCCTATCCTTTCCCGCGCTTCAGGAGTGGTGCGCCTGCGCATTCGGTAGGCGCGCGGATGGAGTGCTAGTGCGCAGGCGCAGGTCGCGCAGCAAGCGCAGCGTGCTCCTCTAATCTCCTTTGGCCTGGGCCTGGGGCTAGGCTGGGTTTAGCGGGTAGCCCAGGCTGGCAGGGTGCTCAGCTCTGGTGGGAAGAGGCGCCCCTGGAGCCAGGGCTAGGGTGTCAGCCTGAGGGTCAGTGCACTGCTGACACTCTGTGCTCACTCTCCACCCACGAGGGAGCCTGGGCCACTGAACAGAAAGGACGATAGAAGTCGTGGGCAGAAGGAGAGCAAGCAAGAGGGAGCCCCATACGGGGGCCTGTTGATGAGGGGGTTGGGGTCCCTCCTGCCAATACTGTTTGGGTCCCTCCTGACCCTATAGCTACTATGAAACTATTGTCAGGGGCCTAAAAGGAGTCCCAAACAGGCAGGGTCACAATGGAGGCACCTGAATTGCAGTTGTAAGCCCAGGGGTCGGGGATAAGAAGCAAGGATCCAGACAGGAGCCCCAACCCAAGGGGTTAGGGCAGGACAGGACCTGGCAAGGATTCAGGCTGGAGCCAGACAGGGGCATCTGTGATAGACAATTGCTGCTTACGTGCCTGCAGATACCCCCTTGCAGGTCACTAGGACCAGCTGCAGGTAACTTGTCTGCTGCCCTGTATCCAAACAGTTGTTGACTGCATTTTAATGTAGTTAGATTGTAATAGGGGTATTAATTCATGTGGTCTGAGACCCATGGGCATATCACAGGCTAGATTCATAAAGATGTTAGGGGCTGGAAGGGACCTCAGATCATCAGGTCCAGCCCACCCTGCTCAAGGCAGGAAAGACTGGTGTGGTCAGATGACACCAACAAGGTGTGTATCCAGTCCTTTAAAGATCCCTGATAGGGTTTCTTTTTTTTTTTTTTAAATAATAATTTCTATGTCTTGATACCCTTCACTCCTGACCTGCAGTGGACATTTGCTGATATTTTGAAAAACTGCCTGGATGGAGATGGGAGGACCCAAAAAGAGGACATATCTGGCAAAACCCGGATGTATGTTAACCCTAGGTAAAGTGAAAGGAGCAGAATGATCTGTCAAACCACAGTAGGTTTGAATACATTACTTAATCTATTTAGGTGACTAAATCAATCCGAATTCTTTAGCTTTATTGCTGAAAACTACAAGAGATTTGTAAAAGAATTCTGCAGGGCTAACAGCCCTTGCTGTAACTTGTTCAGATGAATTACAAGCTTTTGGAAAGGACCCAAAAATCTTGAAGCTTCGGATTAGTTGGAAAAAGAAACACCCCCCCCACCCCACCAATGACCTTTTAAAAAAATAATTTGGAATGTAAGTGTACCCTGATCAAGGTCAGAACCAATGCTGTTATTTTGAAACAAAGACTCCTGAAATGTTACCAATCTGAGAGAAGAACCAGTTTTTTCTTCTGAGCTCGCACAAAGGGCCTCTCTGTTTTAAGCAGATTTTTCTGTGGATTTCATGAGTTGTGAAAAGAATGGTGAATTTTCAGGGTAGACAAGGTTCTTTGGGTAAATGTGATATCTTTTATTAGACCAACTACATAGTTGGAAAAATAGTTTTTTTGCAAGCTTTTGGGCACAAACATCCTTCTTCAGGCATAGGGAGAGTATGCTGTACTTTAAAGTCCGCTGTTTAAAGAGTGAAAGAGACCTGGGGGTCATGATTGACCATAAAATGAACAAGAGCCACCAGTGCAATGCTGTAGCCTGCAAGGCAAACAACACTCTGGCATACCTAAATCAGTGCATCACAAGTAAGACTAAGGATGTGATTCTTCTGCTCTACTCCGCATTGGTGAGGCTGCAGCTGGAATACTGCATCCAGTTCTGGGTGCTGCAATTCAAGAGGGATGTGGAGAACCTGGAAAGAGTCCAAAGGAGGGCCACGCAAGTGATTAGAGGTCTGGAGAACAGACCATATGAGGAGAGGCTGAGGGACACAGGGCTTTTCAGCCTGGAGAAGAGAAGACTTGGGGGGGACTTATAGTTTCATGGTAGCTAGGGTCAGGATGGACCTGAACAGATCATCTAGCCTGACCCGCTGTCACAGGCAGGAATGAATGCTGGGTTCACAAGACCCCAGACAGGTGATTGTCCAACCTCCTCTTGAATTTGCCCAAGGTAGGGGCGAGGACCACTTCCCTGGGAAGTTGGTTCCAGATGTTGGCCACCCTAACTGTAAAATATTGCCTTCTGATCTCTAACCTAAACCTATTCTCCATCAGCTT